GGTGTACGCGCATTTCACAGACTGCTTACACCAGACACAACGAAAATGCGCCGTGCTGTCAAGAAAAATACGGAGCAGCAGCACATCGGCTATGGCAAAGTGATTCTCTTCGGTGAGCATTTCGTGGTGTACGGCGCGGAGGCGCTTGTCGCTGGCATCACGGAGTACACCGCGTGCCGGCTGGAGCTGCTGTGCGGGCAGCCGGGGTTCACCGTCGTGGACCGCCGGCCTGCTGTGCCGGGCTACATCACGGCGAAGGCGGAGGAGCAGCGGCACGCCCACGCATTGGTGCTGCGGCACCTGAAGATTGACACGTCTGTTGATGGACTTCGCATCCACCTGGGCGGGCCGCTTGTGCCGAGCAGCGGCATCGGCGCGTCGGCCAGCGATGTCGTGTCGTTATCGCGAGCGCTCAGTGAGATGTACGGTCTGCGCCTGAGCGAGGAGGAGGTGAACCGCAGCGCGTACGTGGGCGAGGCCGGCTATCACGGCACACCGAGTGGCGTCGACAACACCGCCGCCACGTTTGGTGGCCTCATCTCATACCGCCGCGAAGGCAGAAAACCTATTTTCAGCCGTGTGCCCGTTACCGCGCCGCTCTTTCTTGTTGTCTGCAGCACTGGCATCACGGCGAGCACGACGAAGGTTGTGGGTGAGGTGAGGCAGCTTAAGATGGCAAAACCGGAGTGGTTCGCTGACCTGCTGGAGCGCTACAACAGGTGTGTGCGCGAAGCCAAGTTGGCCGTTGAATGTGGTGATATGAAGCGCGTTGGAGAGCTGCTGAACGAGAATCACACGCTCTGCCAGCAGCTGACCGTGTCGTGCCCGGAGCTGGACACCATTGTGACGTTCTGCCGTGAGAATGGCGCGCTCGGCGCAAAGATGTCTGGTACAGGGCGCGGCGGTCTTGCGATTGCGCTCGCTGCTGACGAGGCACAACGCGATCGCATTGCCGACGCACTGACGCGGCGCTGCCCAGCGGCTAAGTTTGTTTGGAAGTACAGTGTGCTACCACGAGCTGCGAAGTTGTAGCAGCGAGTCTGCAGTCCTTTCGGCGCGCCACCGCTCCAACGTGCAGGGGAGAGGCGTTGCTCCCAGAACCAGCGCACGTCACACGCGGCGCAGTTTGGCACGTGAGACTGTTAGGGACTCTCACTTCACGGAACATAGGGAAAGTACTTTATTTATTTAGAAGCAATGCAACTCGGTATTTATGATGACATCTGCTTGGATGAATAAAATCATTTCTTAGTGCTTGAGAGAGGAATGATCGTGCCCTCCGATGCCATTACTGGGGGTGGGGCGGGGACGCGTCAAACGACCTATCATGTACCTTCATTTATGAGATCGCTGCGGAGGATAAGTCTTGATGGCCCATCCAACCCATCTCCCTCCGCCCCTCGCTGGAGGTGGGCTAAAGGCTTCTTTCACCACCACCTGTTCGCTAGCAACTCTTCGTCCCCTCAAAAGGGGTTGCTGCTATTGAATAGCATGCAGTGGGATGCCATGAGATAATTTCTGGGGGAAAACGAATGTTTTTCATATTTTTCTTTATTCAGGAGGGAAAGAATGACCTAGGCTATTCTGGCTTATTCTTCTTACCAACTGCTATTATTATGGACCGTCTATTCCGGTTATTGCGCAGCTTATTTTTTGCATTGAACCCCCTTACAATTTATCCATTTCTGCTTCACTTTTGCTTGCTTCTGTTTGCATCATAGTGTATTCTCGCCGATGCCTCAGAAGCACATATTTGCACGGCCATCGAACGTTGTAGAGGCGGGTGATCCTGTGTCGAAGTTTAATGCTATCCACCGCATTCACAACCTCCGCCAGTCGCTCAGCAGCATTGTGGCCTCACGTGCCGCCTCTGCGGAGCGCTACGTGACGCCGCGAGACGATGTGTGCTGCGATGCGGGGCTCGCAAGCGTGGCGCCGACGCAGACGGCTGCGCGTGACCCACACAACTCTGCCGCCGGGCGGTTCCTCGTATCAACGCAACGGCGGGTGGAGGAGCTGCTGCGGGAGAACCACCGCCTGGAGCTGCAGTGCATGACGCAGGAGGAGGACCTTACGGAGTTGAAGGTAGAGCTGGAGCTGTGCAAGAAGCGGCAACTGCAACAACAGCAGCCCATCACCGCGGCGTACGATGTGAGAAAACAGCGGCCGAACGTCTGCAAGACACCATCGCTCAGTCGACGCAGCAAGGCGCCGCGGCCCACACAGGAGGAGACGGACATTGATGACACATTAGGCGCGTCTCAGTTTCTGTCTCTTACCGGCGAGCTTGATGAAGCGGCGCGGCGCCTCGTTGACGTTGCGCGGACGGTGTTTCCGCAGCTTCGCGTCGCTGCTGCGGGGCCAAACGCGGATGATTTGGTTGCCACACGTGACGTGTTGAATTTCATTGAGTGCAACCTCCCTGACTGGTGCCGTCTCTCACATGAGTGTGCGGCACTTGGAAGTACGCACACGCTCTTCTCGGAGACGCTGATGGACCTGGAGAGCGACCATCTAACGTGGCACAGTACCATTCTTAGTATTGTGGAGAGGCTGCAGGTCGCTGAAGCGAAGCAGAGACGCAGCGCACGGGAGAAGAACCGGCAGATACGCGAGCTGCGAGGGGAGGTGCAGTCCCTCCTCGCCGATGTGACACGTATTGCGGGTGAGCGCGACGCGTGGAATGACCGCTGCGAGAACCTTGAGCGTGCCCTCTGCCGGCAGGTGGAGGAACACGCGGCGGGGCGTGAACTAGTGGAACAGCTGCAGCGTGAGTGTGAGGCTCTCCGCGTCTCGGCGTCGAAGGAAGGCACTACATCTGCTGCTGCTGTTGAGTGCGGTGGATCGTCCACGACGCTATCGCATGCTAACGACGACACCGCGGAGAATTCCGTGTGCGTTGAAAACAGCAGCGTGGATGAGGATGTCGCGCCACCTGCTACCCCGTTGCATGATGCCAAGCGACTTCACGCTTCTGTCCGCCGCCTCATGCGAGAGCGTGAGGCGCTGCAGAAAAAACTTGACGCTCGCACCAAGGCCCTGACAGAGGCAGAGTCACAACGTCAGGCGGTGGGGGTGGAGAAGGAGCAACTTGAGGCGCAGGTTGCTATGCTGCAGATGGAACTAGAACGCCTGCAGAAGGAGGTAGTAGAAACGAAGCAGGCGCCTTCTCCGCCTCCCCTTCCCCCTTCCCCTTCTCTGGGTGGAGTAACAGCTGAGAAAGAATTCTCTACACCAGAAGTCCGACGCTTCCTGCAGCCCGTGGTGTATCGCCACTTTGGTGATGCGGCGCCGCCACGTCCAGTCGTAGACCTTTCCTCAGTCATCCACGCTTTTGACACAGACGTCCTTGCTGTTACGGGTGAAGATGAGGCGGTGCGATCAACTGGGCTATTCTTTCATATTGGGTGCACCATCGTCAATGAGCTTGGCCTTTTCACAGATTCTGCAGCGGCGTCCGAGGATGCTTGGCGGCGGTTTCTCTTGCAGATTCAAGATGGATTCATCGACAACACGTACCACAACGCCGATCACGCTGCAGATGTGGCGCAGTTCTTTTATGTGCTTCTATCCCACTCAGGGCTGATACCGTACATGAGCCGCGTGGAGCTTGTGGCTGCTGTGATGGCTTCGCTGTGTGTCGAGTACCGCCCCGCGGGTCTCTCTGGGCTCTTTCTCGCCGCAGCACGGGACCCTGCGGCTGCCGGCATCAACGCCGATATTTTATTCGAGCGCTGTTGCGTAGATGTGGTTAGTGATATTCTGGCTCGGAAGAATTTCGCCTTCTTTTCGGATTGGGGGGATGCAGATTACGGTGCCATCATGGATGCTGTGAGAATGCTGCTTCTTCCACCGGTGTCTTCGGGCGGAACAGAGTATCTGGTGCGATCTGCACTCATGGAGCTTAGCAAGGGACCAGTACAGCTGCATGTGGCCGAGGTGCGGCGCCTATTTGTTCGTGTGCTCCTTTCTCTTTCCAGGTACGCTTTTGTTATGCGGCCGTTTGCTGTGAATGAGGAGTGGGCAGAGAGGCGGCTTACTAGTATGCAACAGCAGGCGCGGCTTGCTGATGAGCTTGGCATGCACGGTTTTGAAGTGCCGCCTTCTTCTCACACAGTCGTGGATGATCAACTGCTGCTGATAGAATTTACCGTCCGGCAGCTTTGCCAAGTCGCTGTTAAAGCCTTCCCCGCACTGCTTCCGTGTGAGACGGCGCTGCGCGCAAACACGCAGACGTGGGCCGCTCGCAGCGAGCAGCCAAACGCATCCCGTTTTCTCCACGAGCTGCTCGGGCTCGCGTTGTCTCCTCCTCTTCTGCCGCCGCATGGTGGCGCCTTGGCTGACGGTGAGGGGCACAGTGCTATAACTGGGAATACGCTGGGTGGGAAAAAAGATATAGATCGCGGCTCTCTCCTTGTGGACACTGCACGCTTTGTCTCCTTTCAGAAGGAGCTGATTTCTGTGTACGAGGAAAACGCGTCACTTCGGGAATCTCTTGAAGCCGTTCTGAAGGCTGTTGAGGTTGCCCCAGTCTGCGCACCTGTGAGTGCCTGAGGTGTAGCCGTGTCGTTGTTTTTTTTTTTTTGTTTGTGTTTGGTCTGGTGTCGCAGCAGAGATACGAGCCCAGAATGTATTTGTAGACGGAGGGAATAGTTTTCTTTCTCTATTGCTTTCGCCTTGATGCGTGCACGTGTTATTTTTTTGTTCTCTTGTCTCTTACGCTTGGGATGTTTATTCTGTGCCTCACCTGCCGTTTTCTCGTTGAGCTGTGATCTTGTTTCTTTCTCAGTGGCGCCGTACAAAGGGCGAAGGGAGGCGTTGTCGTACCAATGACACTACTCGACGCGTGCAAGGAGTACGTGGTGTTGCGCAGTGCGGACCGGACGCTCTGCGCACTGCTGCTGGGAAGCGCTACGGCCATCGCGGTGGCAGTGGCGACGTCACCGGGACGCCAAGTCGCCAAGACGCTTCCGACCCGAAAAGAGGTGCGGATGCTGATGAAGGCGAAGGAAGAGCGGCGCCGGCGGAGTTTATCGCAATGCAACCAGCCGTGCCTTTCCAGTTACCAGCGTTTCCTCTTCCTTCTGCGCATTGCCGTGCCTTCACTTCGCTCCAAGGAAAGTGGGATGCTGATTACGATATCCGTCTTGTTGCTGGTGAGGACGTACCTCTCACTATGCATTGCTCGGATGAATGGTCATCTTAGCAAGGTGGTTGTTCGCTGTGACCTCGTGGCAATGGTGAAGTCTCTTGTAGTCTTCTTGCTGTGGTGCATTCCAACAATTATCACGAACAGCTCCCTGAGGTATTGCATAGAGATGCTTTCGCTGCGTGTACAGACCAATCTGGGCCACTACTTCCATCGCAAGTACCTCAACAGCAAGGTTTTCTACCACGTTGTGGCCTCACATGATGTGGAGGAGATGGACCAACGTATCACCAAGGACATTGAGCAGTGGTCGATGTGTGTGTCGGGGCTCTACACTTCCCTGTTCAAACCCATCATCGATGTTGCGCTGTTCTCATATCAGGTGGCAGCCCTTGGTGGAGTTCGCAGCCCATTGATTGTTGTGGCTTACTACACAGGTTTTGCCGCCTTTGCCTACGCGTTGGCGCCCGATATGGAGAGAGTTGCTGCCGAACAGTTAAAGCGAGACGGCACTCTCATTACGGCGCATCAGCGACTTGTTCCCTACGCGGAAGAGATCATCATGACGCAAGGACAGACGTTTCACCATCGGCTTATGGACCGTTATCTTGGATCCATTGTGCGACACGGGCAATGGGCCTCGTATGTGCGTGGGTGCTACAGCCTCGTGGAGACGTTCTTCGTGAGGTACGGCTCCAGTGTGCTGGGCTACGCCGTATGTGGTTCGGCTGTGTTTGCGAAGAGCACCGAGGGTATGTCAGCGGCGGACCTCACCGCTGTTTTTGTGGAGTCGTCGTACCTCTTCCGCAACCTGGCAGTGGCGGTGGGTGAGGTGTTGAAGAACTTCAAGGCTATATTTGTGGTTCGCGCGCTGAGCAACCGAGTGTATGAGTTGCAGGAAACCATTGAGCGTGCAAAAGCGGCATCAGCAGGCATGGGTTTAGGTGAGGTGGTGCGTGGGGACCACATTGAGTTCGCAAATGTCCCAATTGTCTTGCCGACGATGGAGGTACTGTGTGTGGGGTTGTCGTTCTACGTGCGACCAGGCATGAATCTCCTCATCGTTGGCCCGAACGGATGCGGCAAGTCGTCCATAGTGCGTATACTCGGTGAATTGTGGCCACTTCAGGGTGGCCGCATCACAAAGCCGCGGAATGATCAGATTTACTATGTCCCGCAGAGGCCATACATGTCAAGTGGGACGCTGCGCGATCAGATTACATACCCGCTGAAGAGCAGCGAACTCGATGTGAGTGAATCAGTGCTGTTGAACTGCCTTGAAATGGCAATGCTAGATGATATATTCCTTAAGCCAGACATCACATGGGAATCCTCCCTCGCATGGGCTGGTGACACACTGTCAATGGGCGAGAAGCAGAAGCTCGCCATGGCACGACTCTTCTTCCACCAGCCGCGCTTCGCCATCCTCGACGAGTGCAGCAGCATGATGGACATCGAGGTCGAGAAACGGCTGTACAGCATATGTCGCCAACTCGGCATCTCCCTCATTACAATCGCGCATCGGCAGTCGGTGTGGCGGCACCACAACTGGATCCTTCACCTGGACGGCTGCGGTGGCTACATGTTTTCGCCCATCACATTTCAGGAGGACAACGGGGTGGTGCTCACGCGAGTTGTGTACGCGTCGGACCTATCAGTGGTGGGACAAGAGTTGCGCCTCGACTTGTCGCCTTACAATGAGTGAGGACAGCCTTGTCAAATTCAACCTAAAAAAAAAGTGTTAGCTTAGAAACTTTAAGTGTTGGAAAATGTTAATAGGCCGGCTATGTGCGATGGCTTTTTGTGCACTTCTGTTTTTTTGTTGTTGTTGCAAAAGCTGCTCGTGTTTTGGTGCATATTTCTTCCTTTTACTATCCTCCTTTCTTTCCCTTAGGGTGGAATGAGTTGAAGTGTGCGTCTGCGTCACCGGAGCGGCACGGTGCCTTTCTGCCTTTTTTGCCGCCGTTTCACGCCGGCACCGTTTGTGTCTGGCCCTGTGTGCCTCTGGCGGGGAGCAGCAGCAGCCGAACCACACGAACAGGAGCGTTCAGCTGGACTGAGTGCAGAGGCGTTGCTTCTGCCAGGGAGCTTCTACAAAGAGGCTGGACACACTCCCATGGTGTTTGAACTTGACGCTGCGGCGGTCTTATTTGGCGTGAGTGGCATTATGCCCCCGGTTGCCGTCTCCTGACGCGACTCTTGTGGTGGTGTGCAAACTATTTTAACTGACGGATCACTTGATGCCGCTGTGACGCATCATTTGTGGACTGCGTGAGGTGCCTTTGTATTCGTCAGAGATCCATACCACAGCGTGGCTACAGGCATATCTTTCACTGCTGTGGATGCGCCCTCCCAAGAGTAAGCGCGCATCCTACAATGTGGATGTAATTCTGCTCGAATAGCTTTCTCGCCACGCTGCTGAGTGCAAGGAAATATATGTTTTCTTTTCCCCTATTTATTTGGTTCTCTATCACCTTTTTATTACCAGTAATCCTACAGTGTATTGAAGCAAATGCTCCAGGAGGACTTTGCCACAAGAACAGACAGTAACCAACGTTCGCAAACCGAGTCGACCATTCCACACGATGAGCTTCTCTCGTCTGTTGAGAGCGAGCGCACGTTCTTTGCACCGTTGGCGGAAGGAGAGAGTTATGCGAGGCAAATTATGGAGAAGCAATGGTTTCGTGGTATGTCGTCAATAAAGGGCAAGGCCGAGTTGGAATTGGCCAGTATATCAATGCTACAGAAGCACGGCTTCGGTGGCCGCAACGCGTCAGAAGATGGCCAGGAAGAGGAAGGACAGCAAGGACGGCGAAATACGACCGAGGGGGGGATGCAGCACGACAGAAAGCGGGGTGAATTTTTGTACCGTGAATCTACGGAGCGAATTGAGTTGGAGCGTGACGAACATTTCGGCATTTCTGTACTGCAACTCATCATGGAGGAGGATCTCGAGCGTATCGCAATGGAGGAGGAAGCCTTCGTAAGGCTACAGCTTGTATGCGATGTGATGAGGCCCAAGATTCGCTGGCGTTATATCTTTGCGTGGGGAATCATGAAGGCTGTGGCTTCTCCCCCCTCGTGGTCTGAAATGGAGCGTATCCGCCCCACTCAGCGCCAAAAGCCCGCCTACTTGCGTGTTCCGCCGCCCACCTGCCCGGTTCCCATTGAGCCAAACCCATTCTGGGAGCCATGGGAGGGGATGGAGTCGACGCGTCTAATGATTCAAATGGGTTCTGAAGCGTGATAAATGTACATTTTTCTTTTAATTCAACGAATTTGTGCCGTCTTTTTTTTCGTGTTAGTTCCTTTTTGTGGATCTTGTGTTTTCTCTTTGCGAAGAGGCTTGGTGTGTCTGTGCTTGTGCGACACGGACGCTTGTGAATGTGTGTTTTCGTGCTGAAGCATTGTGAAGACGGGGTCTGTCCTTTTTCTTCCCTCATGTCACTATTCCAGCGTGAGTGCGGTGGGGGCATAGACAAGTGGATGTATAGTTACAAGACCCTACGACACACGATTCTAATTGTTCACTGAAGCTGTTGGTACACTTGGAACTCAGATTGTGTGTTTTGTGTCGTTTTGTTTTTGGCTTCCTTTGTGATTGCACTACATCTCCCCCACATCATCAACAGTGGGGGATGACTACGGGACACTTTCACCCTTTTGTTTGTGAATCTCTTTTCATAATGAATGTACTTTCTTTGGGAGTTAGTGGCATATATGACCCGGGAAGCCGCGCCATCGCCACCACAGGTGAATCCCGTTGAGGGTGTCTGTGACTACTACATCGCACGAAAGAATAGGTTCTGCCACACAGAAAAGAGGGCGGGTAGTCGTTTCTGCCACACACATGACATACCGATCGCTGTATCAGCGACGCCACACGGCGATAAAGCCATGGCATCAGATGCCGAATCACTGCCACAACGTGTGCCATGCCCCATCAACCCGAACCACACAGTCTACGCGTCTAGGCTGCAGCACCACGTACGGGTGTGCCCGGATTTGCGATTTGTTGCGTCGGCACTCCCTTATTACAGTCAAAATACAAATGCTTTCTGTGGCAAGGTATATTGCAGGGATGAGGATGTCAGGCACGAGCGCCTAACTCATCGTGATCTCGACAAGGCCACACTTGACCGGCTCATCACGCGTGTGCGCGAGTACTATTACTCTGTGGTTCAACCGCAGATAGTTCTTCTAGCAGAGGAGCAGTGTGGTGCTGATGACGACCCGGTTGATCAGACACGCAGACTCTCTAGCAAGCACAGCCCACAGCACCGTGGACTTCTGTGGTGTGTAGAAAAGGCCCTCCGCGGCCATATTGAAACGCTGCATGAGCACGGGAGCGACAGTGGAGCGATTGCAGGATTCGTGGAGTTTGGGGCGGGCAAAGGCGGTCTTTCTGTCGCCCTGCAGGACGCTATATCGTCGGGTTCTCTCAAAATTGCGGGTTACAACACAGAACCAGCGGTGACGGCGCTCGAAGGTGGCGGCTCAAGTAATCTGCGGCTTCTTGTGGTTGATGTAGACAATTTCCGGCGTAAAGGAGATGCTTGCGTGCGACGCACTTCTCTTCCACTTATTCGACTGAGGCTCAATATAAAGGATCTTGATCTGGTAGCGGCGTTGCGTGATCCGTCCGTTCGTAAGCGTTCTCGGGAAGGCGTTGACAGCACCACTGCCAATAGCGTGGAGACACAAGGCAATTCACCGGCCACAGAAGAGCGGTGGGTAGCTCTTGGTAAGCATCTTTGTGGGTCCTGCACAGACTTTGCGCTCTCATCTGTCACTTCACCTAAACTACATGCTAAGAGTCATGCCTCTGTTGTTGCGGTTGTGCTGGCCACATGCTGCCACCACCGTTGCGAATTACAGCACTTGAATGCGCTTCCTGAAGGCGGCGACGATACTTTCCCTTCCCTCCGTCTGCCTGGAACAGACTATACGATTTCAAGTGCAGAATTTGCAGCAATTACCTCCATGTCATCTTGGGCTGTAAGTGGGAGTTTTGTCGACGAGCAAAGCCGCCAGACAGGTGTGTGCTGTAAGCGCGTCATTGATGCCCTCCGAGTGGAGTACCTAAGGCGTAAAGGATATCTCTGCGCATACCTTTGTGAATACGTGGGAAGAGACGTCACAGAGGAGAATGTTTGTATCGTTGCATTCCGCTCGAACACAGGAGGTCAAAAACACGTGTAATATTAAATGCCTAAAAAGGGGCCGGCCAGGGTCTCAACATCAGATCTTCTCACGTTTAGCCATCACTGTGTTGAGCCGATCCTCTGTGAGGATCGCATGTTAGCTTCTCAGATTTTCTCCAAATCTCCTAAGCGTCAATGCTTTTTATGTATGAGTCCTTTTTCACCTTTTATTTCGTTCTCAAGCATAACGAACCACTAGGACAAGATTCACCCCCGCGCAACACCCATAGCTACTAGTTTAGTTTTTATTTGTGTCGATAAAGCCATCTTATTCTCCACTGTAACGACCTCACCGTTGTCTGAAAGGCTCCGTAAACAGCTTCGCTCGCAAACACGTTGGGAGGTCCTATACGGAACATGATTATTCACCAAACATTCTGAGTTTCCGTTTTTACTACGCTACATTCCACGTTCCACTTCGCTGAGGTAGACGGAGCGTGCCTACCTTATTGTGTTTGGTTTATCTACTGCAGATAACGATGTGAGGCGGAGACGCCCTTGCCTGCAGCGTACATCGTGCTGGCGGCTCCCCCGTGTGGCGACGAGAGCAAATCACTTCACCGGTGAGATACTGGTGCTGTACGTGTTTGGGCGGCACCCGTCGCACAACTTCACGTACTCCGCGACGCTGGAGGCGGAGGCGGCGGAGTGGCACGATGTGATTGCGCTGCCGATGAATGAGGGGCGCCCATCGACCAACAAAACTATTGCTGGCGGACTCAAGTGGGGCAATGAGGCTGA